TTTTGTGCTTGCTCAAAACCTCTTTGTGAATATCTAATTAAAACAAATGAGTATTCTCTTTCAGAATTAACAGATGTAATATATTGCATCACTTGCACCATGTGATATTACATCAAAACATGATTATTTGTTGCTCTCGTAATCTGGCTGCTATAACATAGGCCAAATTGAAGTTAATAGCCCAAATGCTTCTTAAAGATCTGTACAGACACCCACATTTTAATACAATCCAAAAGAATGCTTAAATCAACATGGAATATTGCATGCTGGGACCTGTAGTCTCCACAAGCCACACCTTCATATTGAAAGTGAGTGCAGAGTAAAAGGAGACAGAGTGATTAACTTGTTTCATAAAGAACAATAAACTTCTCTCATTAAAGACAGCTCAGAATACATGAATGCTAACGTGATCATCAGTTAGGCAAATTTTTGATGCCTTTGACCAATTATCTATAAGATTTCACAAGTAGGGATTATATGGTAGGGCTGCTATATAATATCTGCTCTTCCAGCTAAAGACAATTGTATATTTTCAACTGCAGTCATGTTGCCTCCATCTAAAGGTCTGCTTTAGTTGAGTTCAGTTTGCAGTTCTTCAATATTTGACCTTTAGTTTGTATTTTCTTGTCATTTTTGAGTCTGGATATTGGGTCCTCTCTTACAGAGGAAAAAGAGTATCCATCAGTGGGTAGTTCTGACTTATTCATTTCAATTTTACTCCTGGGGGAATTCTGTGCCACTGCACAATGCAGAATTTTGAAGCAATTAACATTGTGCGTGCAGAATGTCCTTTCCCTCACAGAAACGGGCTGCAGTGCTGCTGGCCGCCACAAGGGGCCACTGGACCAAGCAGAGCCAAGCTCGCACATAGAAGACACTGCTGGGGGGAGGAGGATGGAGCTAAAGGGTTCCTGACAGCTGCAGTTGCCAGCACACCCTGAGGGAAGGAGAGGGCGGGATGCAGGAAACTCCATGCAAGCCTGGGACCAAGCATCAGGTTGTTTCTCCCTCTGGATCCCTGGGCTCGGGGGGGGGGGGGGGGGGGGAGGGGGGGGGGGGCGCCGGGCGGGGGGGGGCGGGGGGGGGGGGGAGAGGTTGTGGGTGTCTGGCCCCTCGGCTGGGCTCAGAAGGGGGAAGAAAGGGACAGAGAAACAGGAAATGGGTTGTCATAGGGGTTTCTTTAACTCTCTACTCCCGGGGGGGAAATTGTGTGTGTCTGTATTGTTACAGACATACTTGCTGACAGGTATTTTGAAATAAATTACCAAAATAACTGAAACTGACGTGATTATGTAGTGTTATTGAGATAAATAAAATTTGCAGACTTTTGCAGAATTTTAAAATATTGTGCGCAGAATTTTTTATTTTTTGGCACAGAATGCCCACAGGAATACAATTTGTAGGCTAGCTCTGTAATGATTTTGCCATGAATATTATTATACAAGTCATGGAAACCCAATAGTACCATGTACAATTTATTTACATGGTTTCACAGAAAATAAAAGTCATTCCACAGGATCAATTCAAACAAAGATTTAATAATAATAAAAATTATTATTGAAATTTTCAACTTTTAGAAGGCTTTTCATCCATTCATTTCAAAGCACTTTACAGAGGTGGGTAAGTATCATTATTCTCATTTTACAAATGGAAATAAACAGCTTGCCTAAACTCACAAAACAGAAATGTAACCAGGGCTTAAACTCAATCAGTACATGCTGGCATGGTGTGTCAGCACCTTTTTCATGCTGCCTTCTTATGGTTCAGAATCTAAGCTTTCATTAAGAAAAAAGTCTCTAGCTGTTATGGTTGCCAATTTAGCCTTGAAAACATGTTGTGAGTGTAACTGACACACAGACATCTACCTATGTTGCAGAACCTGATATCATAACTCATCTCAAAGGGTGCTAACTCAGATACCTAATGATAAAAAATTTTAAATTAAAATTGTTAATAATTTCATTTCTCAGCAAAGCATGTAAGACAGGAGAAGGAGGATTATATGACGAAGAACTGCACAATATACTGATGCCACAAGGGAGCTTTTTCAAGGAAGGAAAGCTAAACACAAGGAACCGCCCAGCAGAGACCATGGATGCATTCGGATTCCAGTGAGGGGCAGCCAAGCACAAGGAGAACAGACAGCATGCCTGAGCAAATTTTAAACATCTGTACAATCTACTGTGGGTGGCTTCTCATGTACGTAGAGCTTACTTTGTAGTCAAAGCCTGCTTTTTTATTGTGGGAATACCACCTGTTCCCACCCAAAGCTGTCCTTTGAATGTAACACTTTCCCAAACACTAAACACATTCATCCTATGCAGCTACACAAGGGATGAATGTGGCCCATACTATTTAACATGTAAAAAGATTGGAAAACATACACTGAATTGCAGAAAAAGTAAATGAGAGTCAAACCACTAACTCCCACTGATTTCCAAGGCCTCCTATTACCAGTAAAATGTTCAGTCACCAAACCCGTGAAGATCATTTACTTTTACGTCCTCTTGTCGGAGCTGTCCTCAGATGAGACTCACTGACTTAAGTTCCAATGTTTTTAAACCACCAGCTCTCACAAATCAAGTCTAAGGTACTCCCAGTTTCCCCAGAGAGTTCAAGTTACCTCAGATAACACCTAACACCTCTTCCTGAGCAAGAACATTGAGATGCAGCTTAACATGTACTTTCTTCACAACCTCAACAGCCATTAAGTAATTTACCCAGTACACTTTAAATCCATCTTTGCAGCAATCCTAGAGGCATCACAAAGACAATTGAAATGGGAAGAGATGGCTTAATCCTGCTATCTCATAATTTGTACTATTGTACTGAAAGACGGGGATTAAAATACATCTCTATAGCTAAGGGCTTTGTTTATCTTAGATTGCTTTCATTTGGAAATGTACTAGATTTTCCCCCTCACTTTGCATTTGATTGCATTTAGGGCTTGTTGATAAAGTGTTACCGAGTCTGAAAAGACTTGTGAAGAACTGAGTTAGCTGACTTGGTGCTGATGACAATTTTGTACTCAGGACATACTAGAACAAATCATGTTCAGCGTCATGTCACCTAACTGATTCAATGATTTATCTGGGTCTATGCTGATAATACAGTCATGGTCAGCATCACATAGCTAACTTAATTCTCTACAATTGTGTTCAAGCACAATAACAAACATTTTGTAGTATAGACAAGCCTTTACCAGCATTTTCAGCCACTGATTTAAGTGAGACACAGATGTGTTTTCTTTGCTGCTCATGTTGCTCAGATATTAATTAGAGGTTTGCACCTGGTGTCTTCCTTAAGTTTATTGGGTTATCACTGTTGATTGGTTCTTTTCTCTGCTATTTCTCCTATGTGGCTCTTATAGATCAGGAGCAATTATGGGTAACAAGCCAAGGTGGGAAGCAGCGCATTGCAGCTTTTGGCAAAACTTTGTTTCATGGGTGCTAGATTAGAATGTTCAGGTCCACTAGTGCTGCAGGTAAATAATTCCTGATCCACTCCACAGGCAACCATGAAAAAATGTATAATATTTTTAAAATATAATTAATCATCATCATAGCTAAATCCAATGTATCCAAGGATGACAAAGGCCTTTACAATGGCAAGAATCGTCATCATCTTCATTCCATATTTGGGGAAACTGATACACAGAGAGGTTGAGGCCAACATTTTCAAACTAGGCTACATCCAATTAGGCACTAGTAAATCAGAGGCTGAGTTGAAAAGAGAACCTAGTTCTCCTGGAATTGATCATAAAAAGCCACCAGAGGGCTTAGACAGAACTGTGGTATGTAGAAATACCAGAGGACAGTTAATGGTTCCCCTTTTATAATTTGTTTGAAGCGACTGTTCAGCTATCTGTGCCTCATTCTCTTATTCTAGTCTTGTACCTTTTTTACTCAGTTCCCTGCACATGAATAGCCTCCTTCTTCCGCTGTGCTAAGTGAGTTCCCTTTCCTCCTCCAATATTTCTTCCACTTAGCCTTTCAACCATGATCTGCTTCCTAGTGCTGTTTCCAGCCATTCTCACATCTGAATCATTTGGGTTTGTGTTATCTATCCAATTCAGATTGTCAGCTCTTCACAGCAGGGACCACGTCTGCCTACAGGTTTCTAACATAACTGCTCTGCAACTGTTACAAATTGATATGATTTTTTTTCTTACAATCAGTGTTAATGTTTTCTCAGTAAAAAAGTGACTGACTTCAACAAGCTAGGTTCTAGTTTGGCGTATTACCATATCTGTTTCTGATTCCGTGTGTCTCGTTCTACAATTCAGAAACACTTGTGCATTTATTTTTAAAATAACTACTACAAACTCTAACCACAACTTCATGCTCAACAGAGCCAGATTCACAACATCCTTGTCTTTGCAACTAAAGTGCACTAAGCTTACTTAGTTTAGTTAAAAATGGATGGAGTCAATATGATAATTACAGTATATAGTGGAATCTGCTTATGATGAACCTGAGATGCAGTGATGTAAAATGGAAGTGCACCAAAATATATACACTGCCATTCCAGTTATAATGACCTTCAATAGAAGTGAAGGACCAGATTCAGATATCAAAATGTATTCTAAATTTTTCTATGGAAAAAAAAATTTACCTTAGAAAGTGCCATTGTATTCAAAGAATTGTGTAAAGAAGTTATAGCCTAGCAGCTACCTTACAATACTTTTTTGTAAAACAAACATGCAGGATGTTAACACTTGTTTAAAACAATTATTTAAAAACAAACTGATTATGTGAGTTTAAACATTTTTCCAAATTATTTAATTTGTCTCTAATAGATTTTGTTTTTCCCAATAAACGTTTATTTAGGGAGAAGGTACCCCACCCACCTCTTTCTCATTTCTAATTTTAAGTCTCCTAGTAATTCCTTTACAACATATTTTAAAGAATAATTGAGTAAATAAGTGTTTCTCAATCTGCCTATTACAGTATTGCATTATAAAGTGCCTAAGAAGTACAAAATAGTACATGAAATGTTACCTTCATACATAACTTCATGCTCAGTTGGAGTGTAATTGTATCCTTGAATCAAATCTGGAAGACAGTCCTTACAAAAGGAGTGAAGACAAGGCAGCAGTCTGGGGTCTCTTCTCTTTAGTTCCCATTTGCACACCAAACAATTCCTCAACAGATCTAGGCTCTCCATTTTCCTAGTCCAAAGTTTGACATCAAGGACACTAAAAGTCACAAAATGACTCATTACAACCACTTTCTACTTAATGAAGCGCTCGGTCACCCAAGTGAAAACTACAAGCCAACTGCAGGAGGCACATTCTCAAAAGCAACATTTATTTAGCCCCTTTGAAGAAAGGGGAAGTTCCTTGCAGGTGAAAATTGCATACCCACATTACTGAAAATAACGTTTTCTTTGCAGATTAGCGCATTGGAAAAAGTGGTTTTAGGCAAACAAACCAAAATTCCATTATCAGTACATAGTGCTTGCTACTTTTGATAAAATCTGAGGCATACTGTACTGTGGATCTATTTATAGTAATGCTAACTGTCTAAATTCTCACACGCTGTACTCTTTCTGCTTGCAGTTCTCAAAGCGGATGGAAAATGTTCCAACTTTTTCTACATTTTCTTCCCAACATTTTACAATCAGCAACAGAAGTAAATGGGAATTAGGCATAAACAGTTAAAATCCCATTCCCATTTGAACAATGCATGATAGAAAGCTGCATACAGAAAGGCAAAGATACTTGTAATGATGAACATTTTTGCTTCTAAAGATTTAATAATGTGCACCTTACACACTGCACAAGTGTCATCTTGGGGTTCCACGCTTACTGCCTCTCAAAGACTACGAATCAAATTTTCTCCCTTTACAAGTAAAACAATGTTTTCCCTAACTTTAGCCTGGGATTTCCAAGTAAACTGTACTTGCTGGCTTATGCCTCAGCCCAGATTCTGAAATTGGAACTGAAGTCTCAGTTCCAACATGGAAATAATCCAAACATGCAGCAGGAAACTTTGGAAGTTACAACTGATGAAGTTTCCTTCTTGTTATTCTACAGAGAGGGGGAAAAGGTGAATGTAGTTCTGCCCTCCCCTACTCCCTGGAATAAGATGAAGATTTCACCCCATTGGGCCACAGATCCTGCAAGATTCTCAAAGAGCAAGGGACACAACTACGCTGCTGTTCATTGCCTCCGCTTTGCTGCTTGGCCCTGGAAGCATGCCTTCTACTGGGACTGTCCCTGGAGCTCCCCTATAAAGGAGCTCCACAGCACGGAGGGCAAACAGCTCAAGCATGTTTGGGTTGTATTAATTGATGTTGCTTTCTCCCATGTGTATGGGCAGGGGAGAATCTACAGGAACCCATCTGGCTCCCTTCACCTATACCCTTTGTAGAGCTATTGCAGAGGGGCTTCTGTGAGGTAGGAGAGACAGAGAAGCATGCTGCAGAAGCAAAATACCCCATTTCTGCAGGTGAACGTGCCCCCTGTGCACAAGGGAGCACACGTCACTTAGGTAATGATTCTCTTCAGGGTGTGTGAGCCAGGACAAATCCAGCTGTCTCCCACAATAATATCATAACAGGTCAGAATGCAGAGATGCCTTTGTTTTAGGTAAGTTGACTAAGAACTTCACCCCACCCACACAAAGCGCTAGATGACATATGTAACAGTTGTCAAGGTAAATCTCAAAAGCTTGCCTTTTCTACTTTCATCCAGTCTGTCCAATGGATAGAAATCCTGATGTTCTATTTTATTTGTGTCAAGCTCTTTCACAGGGATTTACCAAGTATTCACATGCAATAATTTGTAAGGATGGGATTAGGGAGTGGAAAAGCCTTTCTCATAGGTCTGGGGCTCCTCCAGTGACATTTTGTTGTTGTTATTTTGTTTGTTTGTTTTTAAAAACACGCCATTGGGAATAATCTGCTGCATTCCAAGGGCAAAAAAAATGGTGTCCATTCAGAAGTATTTTTATAAGTCAGAGGAAAAGGACAAAGGAGAAAACAGTGGATGGCTATTACTTGAGCCAAAGAAGTCCTCTCAGCCTACCCATGTCCCCTTCAACAGGATTACCAGAGCTGAATAGAAAATTGGGCCACTCAATATTAGCCATAGCTTTCATGTTTCACAGAAGGGCTCCTGTTCCACACCACAAAGTAGCTCACTCCCGCCTCCTACAAGTATAAAATCATAACCTATTAAGTCAAAATAAACTTCAAAAAGAGGGAAAAGCAATGAATGCGGAATAAAAAAAATTTGCTGAACTGAATGCAGATCATTTTTATTTAACAAACGCAGCTGGAGAGACCACAGTGTCGGTGCAGTGGCTTTATACAACAGAGTAAACAGGATGACATACTGTTCCCATAGACTGCAATTCCATTCTAGCTTCCATTAGCAAGACTGGAATTGTGCAATTGTGAAATGATCACTTTTGATGTTTCCTGCAAGCTTTTGTTCTTTAGAGGCCATCTGGGGAAAGTACTCGAGAAAGCTTTATTGCAGGCACAAGACACCTACCCATTGAACACATATAACATTTTCATATCACTTAAATGAGACAGAAAGACATTATGTGTTTCTCATTTAAAATTATACTGTGTTTCTAGTCTGCCCGTTACAAGATTAACGCCCACTTACTGAAAGATATTTATTACATCTGAGGGGTTCAGAAAACAACAATTTCCCCCCCTTTACAATAAGTTACATAATATTACCAGCATGTGCGTAAACTTGGGCAACTAGCACAACTCTTACATATGTGGGATATAACTAGAGAAGCTTCTCAGGTCCTGAGTAATGCTGAGCAATCTCTCTAGACTTTACTGAGGGGCTGAGCCAGACAAACAAGCATATGAATAAAGCAACATTTAGACAAACTATAAACAATGGGCACACATTTAAAGCAAAACAAATGGATTCTCTAAAAGCAAAGGCTGGGAAGCATACTCTTTTTATATCATGGAACAACAACATCTGAATGACTCAAAAATTACAATCTGTCCATTTTAAAAAAAAAAAGAGTTTAACAGTAACACATTTTAATTTTACCATTTACAATTTTAAAACATATTGGACTAAATTTTAAAACCTGCCTCTTATTTTGCAACCACAACCAGTTGCAGGCGCAAATGAAAATATGTGGCCCTCTAGCTACTTGATTGCACTAGCATATCAGACAGACAACAATAATCTATCATTTGCATCCATAGTTGACTGCAGATTCAACATTAGAGGCCGTTTTAAGGCCCATTTAAAAATAAGCTCCATTAAATGTATCAATAGTATAATTAGATAACATGATAATAATAATGATTATTTATATATGAACTCACTTTATTTGATGCATCTTCATGATCCATCTTCCAGAGGTAAATGTTCAAAGTGGTCTTCTTCAGTCTCCAGCAGTACATACCTATACTTTAGAAAGGGAGAAAAAAGTGATCTGGGAAACTACAGGCCCGTTAATTTGTCCTCAATAGAATGCAAGGTCTTAGAACAAATTTTGAAAGAGAAAGTAGTGAAGGACATTAAAGATAAAATACAACATGGTATTACAAAAGGTAGATCATGCCAGACCAACATGATCTTCCTTGAGAAGATAACCAATTTTCTAGACAAAGGAACTGCAGTAGATGTAATATACCTGGATTTCAGTAAGACATTTGGTACCTTTACACATGGAAAATTATTAGTTAAATTGGAGAAGGTGGGGATTAATACGAGAATCAAGAGGTGGGTAAAGAACTGGTGATAGGGGAAACTACAACAGATCATACTGAAAGGTGACTGTCAGGCTGGAGGAAGATTACTAGCGGAACTCCTCAAGGCTCCATATTGGGACCAATCTTATTTCACATTTTCATTAATGACATTGGCTCAAAAAGTGGGTGTGCACTAATAACATTTGTGGATGACACAAAGTTGGGAGGTATTGCCAATACAGATAAGGACCAGAATATCATACAAGAATATTTAAATGACCTTGAAAACTGAATAGAAATCTCCAATGGCCAGAGATGGGGCACTATAGGGAGAGAGCTCTCGGTTAATATATTCTTTCCCAAGTGTCTGGCTGGTGGGGCTTGCCCACGTGCTCAGGGTCTAACTAATCATCATATTTGGGGACTGGAAAGAATCTTCCCCCAGATCAGAATGACAGAGACCCTGGGGAATTTTGAATTCCTCTGCAGCATGAGGCACAGGTCACTTGCTGGTTTGAACTAGCATAAATGGTGGATTCACTGCAACTTGCCGTCTCTAAATCAAGACCTGAGGGCTTCAGTAACTCAGCAAGAGGCTACAGACCTACTACAAGAATAGATGGGTGAGGCTCTGTGGCCTGCAACATGCAGGAGGCCAGACCAGATGATCATAATCACGCAGGGGACTGGACTAGAACACCTCTCAAGCTCCCTTCCAATCCTACGCTTTTATGATGGCTCCTTCTGGCCTTAGTCTATGAGTCTATGCTCCTCACAAATACTTTAACATATTGCTTCATTACGAATTAGAACACACAAATATATTAATTTTATAATAGGAGGCTGAGTTTTTAAGGAAGTGTAATGTTTAGACAGATGGCTAAAAAATTTTCCAGAACCAAGGCCATGCAGCAACAATGCAAACCCACCTTATGAAGTACTGAGAGCCATCAGTACACCCTGGCTTCAGTTGAAGGACACAATACATCACAGAATTAGGATTTCCAGGAAGATGTAAATATGTTTCATAGAAGAAGAAAGCATAAGGCAAACGGTGCCATAATTTGAGCGTCTTTGTAGCTTAGGGCTGTGACTTTCATAAGTCATCTGATTTTCTCTCTCTTGTGTGTCCTCATCTTTATTTCTTGCTGATGCCATCAAATGGTGGTTTTGCTATCTTCCTGGTGTTAAAAGGGGGTGTTTGTTGTGAGGATTCCACACGGCTTGTACAACATTATAATATTTTATCTTAACATATTTGTTTATTTTATAATTGGTACGCTGACAGTTATTTGGGTTGGCAAGGGCTTGGTTTCATTTGTTGAATACCACCAAACAAAAATACCTTTTCATATTTATAAAACATGGATACAAAGTAAAGAACAAGAGGGAAAACAAGCAAAACATTTAAAATCAAAAAGTTAAGTAAGTCTTCATTTTAATTAGCTCCTTCATTCTTGCTCTCTATTTGTGCAGAACCTATTAATGGGAAAATCCTTAGTCCGAAGTCTCTTAAATGTCATCAGATGTCCTTCCTGGGAATCATATCAAATTGTAAAGATGACCACTGAGTATCTAGTAAATTCTATCTAGCTTGGTGATATCCTTTCTTCAGCAAAGGCTAGTACCTGATACTTCCAAAGAAAAAAAAAGAAACATAATGCACCTGATGTGGCACACTAGAACTATCCTGTGTTATTGAGAAAAAAAAGAAATTATGCTAAATTCTAAAACACTGTCAGTAGGAAGGGTCAGACTCAGAGGTCTTAAGAAAACTGCAGTTGTAAATCACAACCTAATGGAAGCTGTGTGAGGTTCACAGATTATGAGCTTGTTCCATCCACTCCAATTTCACTCACTCTCTTATTTAGGTCATATGTGTGCAGCAACTCTACTTCTGTGTAATTTGTAAACAGAAAGGTAAAAAACTAGCTTTATTACAAACTATGATCAACTGCTGGAAATAGGTTACTAGACACCTCAGCAAATGTATAGTACAAGACTGTAAAGGACAAAACCACTCAGGTTCACAATTGCTCCTAAACATTTATATACAGGACCTCAAAATTAAAAAAAATATATTGTCATATTTTAGTAACAGTTTCTCCTATGTCATTCTCCCCACTTTTATTTGTACTAAGCAGCAAGTATTAAAGGACACTATCATATATTTAATGGAAAACTTTGGAGTGAACTGTAAAAAAATCCACTTATAAACAAAAATATTAGTTGTAATTAACAGGCAATGTTTTCACTAAAGTATAAATAGTTAAAACACTTGTTTTAAACCAAAATTATTTGGCAAAAACAATAATCTTTTACCAGTAAGCCCAAGCTATTTTAAACTAGGTTTATAGCAGAGTCTGAAGGTTTTGGAACAGCCAAAGAACTGTAAATATTTCTGCTGTTACACTCTATTTGCATGAGCTTATAACTCAACCATGAAAATTTATTCTGGGCTAACACCTGGCCACATAGGATACGTCTACACTGCAGCTGGAAGGAAGCTTCACAGCCTAGGTAGACAGAATTGCCCTAACAGGGCTTGAGCTAAAATATAGCAGTGTGGATGTTGCGGCTCCAATGAAAACTCAGGATAGCAACCTGAGCTTAGACCCACAGGGTTTGGCAGGCTTGAGAGCCTGAACTGCCACTTGAAATGCAACACCCACACGGCTAATTTTTAGTGCACTAGCTTGAACCCTACTTTCACAAGTCTCTCTAGGGGGCTAGAAGGCTCAGTCCCTGCTACCATGTAGACAATACCCAAAGGGTCTCATTTTGGGAGTGAATTTATTTTATGAAGAAAGAACTGACTACTTTGCACATGTATAGCAATCTCCATTTGAATACTTTAAAAGCCTTTTAAAACATTAAGGAAGTAAGATTCACACCACCCAGGCAAGGTAAAGAGCATTTCCATTGTATCTGTGGGAAAGCTGAGGAACATAGGAGTTAAGTGGCTTGCGGAAGGTAACACAGCAAATCTGTCACAGGGCCAGGAACAGACTCTAGAACGCCTGAATCCATATCCTGTGCTCTAAGCACAAACCCACAGCATCCGCCACGCAAGCTCTTGCGGTGCAACAGGAACACTATTTCCAACCACACGCCCACAAAATCATTTGCCTTAAAAACTTGTTTTTTTTTATAAAATAAGAAAGGCGGGGTGCTCTTTGTTGCCTTCCAGCGTTTAGGATTCATGTTTTCAAGCTTTTCGCACAAGGAGGGCCACCACGCTACTTGACACACGAAGTACAAGCCGAGTGTTCCCTAGCCCCGTGACTCCAAGAGCTGGGGCTTCAGGGAGACCATCAAACATCAGCAGCCTGGTGGTAACGTCATGGGACCAGAGCGAGCAGCTCAGGAACCCCCGGAAGGGGGCGGCAAGGGGACTCTGCCCCGAGCCGGAACGGGGAGCAGCCCGGGCTCAGAGCCCCCTACCCCGAGCACGGGCGGAGGAAGGCCCCTGGGGGGAGCGAGGGCCCGCATGGCCCGATCATGTCCAGACACGGGATAGAACCCAGCGACGCTAAACGCTCGCTCGCTAACCCAGCCCCACTCAGCTCCTCCCAAACCCCGAAACCGGAAATAGGCTGCTTGAGATCTCGCGAGAGACTTCGCTCCCCTGCCTTCATTTCTGCTTCCTCCGCCCTCCACTTCCCGCTTCTCGCGAGACATCAGCCCCTCTTCTTTCTTTTACCCGACGCCGCCAGCATGGTGAGCTGCTGGCTGCGGCCGCGTGGCCGGGCAGGGCTGAGGGGAGCAGCCGGGAGGGGGGAGCCTGGCGCGCGCGGCTCCCCGCGCTCTGGAGAGGGGACTTCGCGTGCTCGTGGCCGGGCCCTCCGGTTCCCTGCGCCGCCCCGCTACCACTTTCCCAGGGGAGCGGGTCCCGCCGGGCTGGAGGGAGGGGGAGCGCGCAGGGGGCAGTCCGGAGCCTTCCCCGGCTTCCCCGCGTCGCCCTGAGGCCGGGGGAGCTTCATCCCTCGTCCCAGCCCCGAGGGGGCCCGGGCAGGAGGCGGGACGCGGGCCCCGCTTTCCGGCCCGGCCGCTCGGTAACGCGCTCTGCTCTCTGCAGCCCTCCAGACTGAGGAAGACCAGGAAGTTGAGGGGACACGTCAGCCACGGCCACGGTCGCATCGGTGAGTGCGGAGCGCAGCCCCACGTCGGGTCTGCGTCCCCTGCTCCCCCTCTGGACCCGGATCCGTCCTGGGGGACGTGTCCCTCTCCCCCGTGCAGTAACAGGCTGCAGCCCCACTCGCACGATGCGTGCTGGGCAGTAGCCGGCCTCTCGGGGACTTCAGCGACGTACCGCATTTCTGGCATCACGATTTCTTCTTGTCTCTCCTTCCAGGCAAGCACAGGAAGCATCCCGGTGGCCGTGGCAATGCTGGGGGTATGCACCACCACAGGATTAACTTTGACAAATAGTAAGGCACCTAAAAACCATGCCTCGTCCTTCCTCTGTTTCCTAGCCATGTTGAGATGTCACGTGGCGAACTAGCTTCCATAGTGGGCATTTTGAACCATTCATGTAAACGGACAGGCTTTGTAACAAGGCAGCCCTTCGTAGTCCTCTGTTGTATGTGCACTTCTTCTTTCCACAGATTAGTGTGATTAACAATGTTGGTGAGTTCAGAGTGGGGTAATT